ATTTCATTTCAAGTCAAACCAGTGGCAGCTCCTGCCAGATCTCTCAGGGGGGCAATGATGCCTGTTGCCATTTGGCATAAACCAAGATTTCTCTTCAAGCTACATACTTTACAGTATTTGTGGACAGCTATATACAGGAGTTCATTGTAAACGCCTTATTGAATAAAATTATTTTGGCTCCACAATGACTGTTCAGTCAATTGTGGTCATCAACAGATGAATTGTCATATATCACAATGCCTCACAAATACCTTTGAATATGGAAAGAGTGATCAGCTTTAACATTAATTTAATTAAATTAGATAAAGTCGTCAGTCTTAAAAAAATTTGATTCAGTCTTAATTATATAACATCATATAGTAACAACCAGATGGCACTAGGCCGCTAGCTGCACATTCAGACTTTGCACAACGTTTTGCTTCGGTTTCTGGGTTGAACAACAAATGCAGTCCTCCACAAATGCAGACGATGCACTCTGATAGACTGCTTGAAAATTGCCAAAAGGGGCGGTACTGTATGGAACACAACTTGGTGCTGATTGGACTATGATACTCAGAGGCAGGACAGACTGTCTAGAACAGTCACAACTAGTGAAACGCTGTAGTAGAATGTGGAAAAAGCAGAAAACACATGATCACACATGGTCACTGTTCAAAAATGAATAATTCTTTTTTTAAAATGGTAACTTTCCAAAAGAAGGCAAAAAAGTTCTGTACTTCTAATATAAGTTAATGTAAAGAGGTTTTATTGTTCCATTCATCATGAAATTTTGAAAGAATATAAAGGACAACTGCCATGTTCAAATAGTGCAGAAAAATAAAATTAGATAAAATTTATTCTAATTTTATTCTAAGCAATTTTGGACCATTTCTGTCGGTCCAATCATCATAAATTGTGTAAAGGGCTCAATGTAAAGGGCAGCTGCTGAGCTCAAATGACATAAAAAAAAAACCAAAAAAAAACAGAAATCGTTGGAAAGCCATGCAATGTGCTTTTTTCCTTTTCTCACTGACCTCCACGGCAGACAGAAACATTTGTTGATTTTTTTTAGATCTGAAGCAAGAAATGAGCCTGATTTTCTTCCTTTACAGATAACAGTACTGTTAATCTGATGGTGGTAGTTTTGGTGGTCTATCATGTCCTGCATGGTTGTTAGGAGTCCCATTTTCTCTATATCTTTAATCATTTTTTCAACTCCAGTTTACGAAACTCCTGTTGTTTCTCTTATTTCCCAAATCTCTTCAGCAAAATCTCCTGAAAATAAATAATTTGTACTTAATGGCCATTTTGACTGAAAAATAAATAAATGAAGGGCACTTCATTTACAGTCCTGCTGTATACTACAGTACTACTTCAGTACTACAGTACAGCACAGTACTATATGTAATTAATCATGCAATTGGATGATCATATAGTGTGTAAACACTATAGCAAAACAACAGATAGAACTCGACCTCTAAGGGCTAAATAGGTTTGCTCCTAAATGATTCAGTGATTCACTTGTTTAATATGATTAATGGCTATGAGCTGATGAGCAATAGAGACGAGCTGGCTCTTGGGTAATGGGCAGTGCGCTTTGTTAGTCAAAGCGGGTGGCTGTACACCGGCATGAAACAGATGGCATCAGACCATGCATGACTGTCTGCCTCTGACGCCAGCTGGCACGCAGGCATCGCTCTGGCATAGACTGACACCTCTGCGAGAAAGTTTCCCCCTCTGAATGTGTCTTGGCACAGTTTGCCAAGGACACACAACGACGCCAGCGCAGGTCCTCGAGTTCATCAGCAGCCACCCATGCTATTGAACGGTAAGTGTCTCAGTGGGAAAAGAGTTTGACAGTTGCTGTGTGGAATAAAGCATTTTTGACTCACCTGTTTGGAACCAAGTGCTCAAAAAATTCATTTTACACTGTCACAATGAAACTTTGTTAACCTCCCTATTCTTCCACCATATTTTATGCAGAACCACGCGAATGCTCCCACGCTAATTACCTTAAGTCACCCTGAAGAACAACTAACAAGCTAATTAATTAATAATCTGAAATGATTAAGCAAATTAACTACCAATTCATCACACTAATTAACAAGCAAGTCATGGTTTTAACACCATTTAAACAAAAGCTTTAGAGCTGATAACGGACACTTAAGAATCCAATCGTAATTAAGCCTCTGAAGCTGATTTCTCTCCTGTAGATTCATCCAGCATGACTCATTAGAGGGAAGGGGACTATGGTGTCCTCGAGAGAAGAGGAGCTCACAAAGCACAAAACCATCAAGCTTCAAAAGGACAGAACGCTGCAGCTGTTATACATTCAACAGTGGGACTGCTTGCTGCAGCTAATTAATAATATTGCCATTTCATAAACATAATAATACTAATTATACAAATACAAGGGCCTGTTAAATCTATATATGCATCCACTTATTAATTTTGAATAACTAGCCAAAACCTTGAGATACACTATATGGCCAAAAGTATGTGGACACCTGACCTGTATGACCTCTCTGGACGTTTCAAAACCATGGGAATTAATACAAAGTTGCCCCCCCTTATGGCTAGCCTCCATTCTTCTGGGGTGGCTTTTCACTAGATTTTAGAGCGTGTCTAAATTTTAGTCGAAAGAGCATTTCTGAGGTCAGGCACTGATGTAGGATGAGAAGGCCTGGCTCACAATGAAATGTTCCAGTACATTCCAAAGGTGTTCAGTGGAGATAAGGTCCAGGTTCTGTAAAGGCCCCTAAAATTCCTCCACAACAAACTCATCAAACCACATCTTTAAGGACCTCGATTTATGCACAGGGACACAATCATGCTGGAACAGGAAAGGGTCTTCCCCAGACTGTTGCCATGAAGCTGGAAGCATATAATTGTCTAAACTGTAGCATTAACACTATCTTTTACTGGAGCTAAGAGGCCCAAACCCTGAAAACATATCCAGACCATTATCCCTCCTCCACCAAACTTTACTGTTGGCACTCTGCTAGGTAGCCTTCTCCTGGCACTAACCAAACCCAGATTTATCCATCAGCCCAATAATGGAGCATAATTAATCACTCTAGAGAACACATTTCCCCTGCACCCTGAGTCCAGTGGCAGCAAGCTTTATGCCACTCCAGCCAACAATTGGTATTGCACGTAATGACCTTAGGCTTGTGTACAGCTGCTCAGTCATAAAATCTCATTTCATTAAGCTCTTGATGCACAGTTCTTGTGCAGATGTTGCTTCTAGAGGCAGTTTGGAACTCTGTAGTAAGTGATGCAACAGAGGACAAGCACTTCAGCACTCAGCGGCCCCACTTTGTGAGTTTGTTGGTTTACTGCTTCATGGCTGAGCTGTTGTTGCTTCAAGATACTTCAATTTCACAACAGTAGAACTTACAGTTGATTAGAGCAGATCTAGCAGGGCAGAAATTTTATGAACTGAATTATTGCAAAGGTGACATCCTAAGTCAGCGAGCAATTCTACTGCCATGGAGATTGCATGGCTATGTGCTTGATTTTATACACCTGTTAGCAATAGGTGTGGCTGAAACACCTGAACTTAATAATTAGATGAGGTGTCCTCATACTTTTGGCAATATAGTATATAGATTCAGTAGTTTCCACAAATCTATGTAAAAACTTGTTGAAATATTAATATTAATAAACAGTCTGGGGTATAAAAATGAGAAATAGCTTATGAGACATTGTGACAAACCTCAGTGAGAGTTCTATATGAAAATGAGTAGAGAAAACCAAGCCTAGTTTTGCTGGATCGCCATCGGCTGCAAAGCATTTGTCATGCAAGTGTCTGTGGAACAGGATATTAAAAATCTTGCATTATCTTCAAGGATTTTATTATTTACACATAAACCAGAACCTAAAGTAAAAAGGGATAAAATGTTTAACTGTTTGCAAATGTTTAAAGCATTGCCTTTCCTACTTTCTCAGACTGCTTCACTGCTTTCATTTCGTCTTGTTCCACTATATCTATTTATTAAAATAATCAATAAATCTACCAGTTCATATTTACATTGTGTTGCTGTACCCAAGACCAGTGATTACATTGGCTGATTGTTGGTAGCCAAAACCAGGTTGTATGGACATGAACATGGGCATTTTTGTACATGCACACACTTTCCCACAATCATATGTAAAGTCTTAAACTTTTAGCAAAGAACCTCAAAGACCAGTGGCTGCAGCTAACCTGGTTAATTTACTTGGTAGCTAGCTAGCTTAACGTACAAACATTAGATTATACAGAGATTAAATGACTGAATCCTAAAATTTCATTTGAGAGTGTAAGCAAAAACATTCATTTTCTAGCTGCTAGCATGCTAGTAACATTAGCAGGGGTACTGAGGTAGCTAACATTACCATAGTGAACTATTTATGAAGTGATAATTCTAAAAATAGCAAGAGACACATCAATATACTATTCAGTTTTACATTCTAGTGCACACGTAACAGTGCCTGGGGTCTTTATCCTCACCTGCAAGAGTGAAGAATTTATTTGTGTTTTTGTGACTGTTTCTCAAAAAAGTTGGCTTCAACCACAACATAGAGCAGAACTTCCGACTAAAGACAAATACAGCTCAAACTATACCTTGAAAGGTGTTACTGCATCAATTATTAAGTAATAGGTTTTCTTAAATTCTCTGACATGCCTCAATGAATGTGTTTTCTCGAAAAAGCTCATTTAATCATGTGTATTCTGCCACTATTTTTTCTGTGCAATGCCTGCATGTATGTTCCAATAAAGAAGATCAGGGAAATGCTATAACCTCAGTAAGACACCTTGATTCTTACAGGCCAGCCCTCTGGGTGGTCCATCAAAGAGCTGATAGTCAGGGTATGACTTAGTGTACTTTTAGTACTTTTACTGTATTTTCCATAGTAAATATTGTCATGAGATAAATACATTCATCCATCTGAGAACAATAGGCCCAAATAAACCACATGTCTTGACTCACCATACCTTTTGCTCATTATTGCAGGATACAGTCACAGTTCACACTTACCCATGGCACGTCGTCTTGTCTGTAGGATCTCCAGGTTCGGCCAGAGTCGCTGTACTGCAGGTGGTAGCTGCTCACCCAGTCTGAACTGCCCCATCGGCCCTGGGTGGCAATGGCCGTTATCTCCAGCCGATCCCTTAGGTCCAGCTGTAGCCAGGGTCGATGATCCTGACTGTCTGGAGACCACCCACCAGCGCCTGCAGAAGGAATTGGAGAAGGCACGGAGAGAGAGATTAGAGAAAGAAAGAGATACAGAGAAAGAGAGAGAAAAGGAGGGAAAGATGCCAATGTCAGTGAAAAAAGGGATCTATTTTGGCATTTTTGTGGCTCACCCTTATCTTCTTTTCATTCAATCTCTAACCCATCTCTAGAGGACAGTGGACAGACCTCAGAGCAGTGTAATATTACAGCACAGTGGTTAAAAAAACACAATGACCTCTAGTGTGGCTGACCCAATAGCTGCTTAGTGATCCGCTTTTGTTTGCATTATACTGTACAGTTGCAGTAGATTTGAAGGTTTCAGCCCGTATCATCTCTCCTTTTCGTGATCGCTGCACGTGAATGTGATGTAAATAAAAACAAGACGCTTGACTCCATGGGTGAACCCAGTGTCGTGATTAATCTATTAAACCCAATTAAAAATTAATTATTAGTTGGCAATTTTCTTTTTTACAGTAAGAAACAGAACTTGATAGATACATATTTAGAAGCTTTTTAATAGCACTGATTTCTTGAATAATTTCTTTATCAAATGTTTCAGTAGTAACAAATTTAGCTCATTTTAACTCAAAAATACCAGCCAGTATATGACTAGCACACACAGCTGTAAACAGTTTTACACAAATAAAATCATAATGTTTTCTTTAAAACACAAAAAAAGTTACTTAACTGTGGAAAATATGTGTTTCACTATTGACACTTCTAAAGGTGACAGACTAGTTTTTGAGACTTTGGGACACATTTAGTTCAACAATGGCATCTAACTAGGTAAAACTGGTATCACTCCTTTCTTTCCTTTCAAAAATTCTTGAACATGATGTCTATAATCAACTTTCTCTCTTTCTCACTCAGAACCAGAGACAGGACCCCAACCAGTCTGGCTTCAAACCGGCGCACTCAACAGAAACTGCCCTTATAGCAGTGACTGAGAAGTTCCAGGCAGGAAGATCAGCCAAACTGTCATCTGTTTGGATTCTTCTTGACCTTCTTGATCAGCGGCTTTTGACATGGTCAACCATACAATCCTTCTCAGAGCCAGTGATTCACCAACCTTGGAATCACTGGTTCTGCATGGCAGTGGTTCAAGTCCTATTTGGAGGGTTGCTCTTATCAGGTACCATGGAGAGGGTCCACATCCTCTCCATGCAGGCTCTCCACTGGTGTCCCACAAGGCTCGGTGCATGGTCCCTGCAACTACAGGTCCTCATCATGATCTTGCCATCTCATTCGAGAACTCTCTGATTGTTCCGTCTGAAGATGCAAGAAGTCTTGGTGTGATTCTGGATGGCCAGTTATTGTTCTCAGCTTATACTGCGAACCTGAATCAACGCAGTGGTTAAAAAAAGTGTTTCTCCTGTACAAAATCCAGAGGATTCAACCCTTTCTCACTCAAGAGGCCAGCCAGGTGCTAGTTCAGTCTATGCAGACCATCAAGCCTCTGCAACTTATCCAGAATACAGCAGCACGGCTCGTCTTCAATCTTCCTAAGTTCAGTCATGTCACTCCACTGCTGCGCTCCCTTCACTGGCTTCCTGTAGCTGTACGCATCAGATTTAAAACCCTGATGCCTACAAAGCCAAAAACGGACCAGCCCCTCCCCACCTGATGGCAATGGTCAAAACTTGAACTGTACCTTGAGCCCTTCGAGCTTCAAGTACAGCTCGGCTTGACCCGCCATCCGTCAAGATGCGTGGAAGACAAGCATAAAGACTGTTCTCTGTCCTGGCACCCAGGTGGAGGAACGAACTCCCACTGGCTGTCCGAACAGCAGAGTCTCTCGCTGTCTTCAAATGCAGAATGAAGACACACCTCTTTTTACAGCACTTAAGTGAGCACTTACTACTGTACTGCACTTAATGAAATGTATTGCACTGTTCTGTGTTTAATTCTGTTCCTTTTTCTCTGGGTATCAACATGGGCTTTTGTTTCTAGCAGTATCTGAGCTCAGGACTGGCTTTCTCTCTAACCTATTAATACCTAGCAAAGATACTTTCTCTAGATAGACAATAAAGCACTTTTTGTAAGTCGCTCTGGATCAGAGCATCTGCTAAATGCTGTAAATGTAAATGTTAATGTAACTACTCACCATGTGGCCACCTGGGACGGGGTGCAGTCTCACTTCTCACTCTAAAATGTAGGAGTGTGGCTAGAGTAAGGCTCCACCTATAGACTAAAACCCTTTGTGTTTTGATAGTGACATGAAGACATAGGACAGCATCTTTTGAATAAAGTTTGAAAACAAATTAAAGAATTAAACTCATTATAAATCTAAATCTTTTAAGCTCATTTTAAACAAACTGAAAATAACTTTTAAAAAGCATTGAAAAATCAAATCAAAACAAAAAAATGTAAGTATTATTTTCAGTAGTTGAAATTTCGAGGTTAGAGTTTGGGACAGCGATCTCCCTCTAAATGATGATTTTGTATATATTTGGTTTATTACCATCTCAACTAATCCCTCGGGTTTAAACAGAACATAACCTAATCCTTGTAAAAATGTATCATCTGAATACTTAATTGTTTGTTTAAATGTTCTTTGTTTATTGTGGTACTGCAATTTAAACTAATTCGCTAGCATGATCCATCAGCAGTGCAGTACCAACAGTACCTATCATCTGCAAAATATAATTTCTCAGTCTCTGCTAGTGTAAACACAGAAGCCACTGCAGACCTTCCCACCAAGGCACTCCCCCTTCGCCTCACTGTTTGCTTGGAATAAAGCCTGGAAAAATATAAATAGCCACATCCGTTAAGAAGCTCCGCTGGGAAACTATCCATTGCCTTGGAGAATAACTCCTTACCATGTAAGTGCCACATTAGTCTAAGCTGCTACACAGGCTGGGGTTCAGAGGGGTCGAATTGAGCAGGACGAGAGAATTTCTGGCTGATGAAAAGACTGTCAATGTGGCGATGGTGAAGGACAGAGGTCAGCTTCGGGTCAAGGATTCACTGGTATTGCCTCCAGGCAGGTTGGAGCAGAGATCTGGCGATGCATCTTTCATTAGCAACATTCTATCGCTCGGTCACTGTCAGCTGTGAAGCTTTTTGCCTGAGGACAGGTGCATAGGTCTGGCCCCACATACCAAGAGTAATTGGATTGTGCAACCAAGGTCATTAGTTAAGCCATGTCCAATCCACAAAGCTGTACAAATAGGAAAGCATAATCAAGGCTGTACAAGGAAATACATCTAGTTGCCAGTTTGTTAGATGCATGTTGTAGGTGTACTATTACTGACAGTAGCCTATTCGTTGATATTTACAATTTGTCAGTCACCCTCTTTCCTCCCATCAATGAAGAGGGACCACCATAGGACCACCACTGACTTTTTTTTTTGATCTGAGTGGTGGAACATTCTTATATTCATGTGCACAAATAGACTCCAAAGGAAAGCCTGAGCCCCTGCCCCTTTGCCCCCAGCCTGTACAAGTGCCCTCTTGGTTGACATGTGTGATAGTAATAGTAGTTGTGTATACATAGCCATTTTTCAAGATTTGTTTCAGCAGCTGAACAGAATAGAGCTAATTGATTAGCTCTGGTTCTATGAGCTTCGTTGCTCTTATGCTCCATCTCTGGTGCAGCACCAGAGGCCTTTTGAGATTTCCTCACAGTAATCCAGAGCTCTTGTCAATAAAGCACCAATAGTCTCTATAAGAAAGCATCACATTGCACGAAACTGGTTATTTTGATCAACATCCAAACATAATGTCAGTTGTAATGGTGCTAAAAACTTGCTAAACCAAGTCTTTGTTGTTGTAAAAACAGGGATTTATGCCAGGCTCTGTTAAAAGAGTTATAAATCACAAGTTCTTGGTAATTAGATATTAGTGGATAATGTTACAGCTCTGTATGCTAACAACTGAGGTTGAAATCCCTTTATAGGCAGCTACATTAGTATTCTTGCCTGTCTTAGGGGAACATTTAACATTTCACACATTTTTTTAAAAGTACAGTCACGCTGTCAATTTGAGCCCCTGCCCCCATAATGTATATGCAAAGGCCTGGTATGGCACTGGGCACGGCGCTGGGATGAGTGCATCAGATGCAGCATCATTGCTTGTTTTTTATGTACTGTGTACATGAACTGTCCAGTTTATTAGAAACACCTACAGCACCATGCCAAGACCAGCCTTTCATTTATTTCATTTCCTGTCAAAACAACCATTAAGTGTAAGTAACTCATTTTTCAGTGTCAGGAAAAAAAGCACATATTTAACAGAAAATCACACATAAAGCTTTGTCTTTACTTCACCTTCCATTCTTTTCATGAGACTTGCTTTTACTTTTTGGCAGAAATCTGCAGGAATATTTTTCCACACCTCCAAATCTCAGTCTTAAAATTGGCTGCAATTTCTGCTTCTAGTGATCTAAGTATTCTCAAATGCATTCATTAATGTTGAGGTCACTGTGGTTGTCAGTCTATTGTTCTGAGAACATCAACAGCTTTTTTATTTGATTTGTAATTTTCTTTTCTCAGTAATGGCTTCATAGCATTGAGTTGTCTTCTGATAGTAGAAGGAAAGACAGAAACACCTGTGGATTTTTTTCAGATATGAAGCAAAATGAAAAAAGATGAAAGCTTTAAGTACTTGTTATCTGATGGTGACCGTTTTGGTAGTATACCAGATCTTGCATGGTTGTTAAGAGTCCCGTTTTCCCTATATATTGTAATAAAATACATAACACCAGTTTTGGAAAATCTTGTTTCATTTATTTAATTTGTCTCCCTTACTTATGCAACTTGCCCCTTACTTATATCTAATCTCCTCAAAAATATTTCCCAAGAAATGAAAAAACTTGTACTTAATGGCCATTTTGATTGGTACTTTAATAAGTGAGACTCTTGCACAGACTTTTGCATGGTAATCTACTTTGTACGTCCACCTTATACATGTACAGTTGTCTTAATCAGTGCACAATCTGCGTTAATCGTCCTTTAGCCCTAAAACAGTAGTCAGTTTATGGTCAAATTACCAATGCTGTGCTGAGAAAGGTTCTACCATTCATGTTCAGCAGTGATACTATGGTGGTTCCTTTCCATTGATGGACACCGTGGGGGTGGGTGACAAACTGTCTGGCAACAGCTGGACTACAGTCAGTAAATGTATATCTAAAGGACACTTATATGGTAGGAGTGCAAGCACAAGGTCTGTGTGTCTAATAAGCCGTCATGTATGTATCTGTTGAAGCACCTGGATGCTACTGTCTTCGGGTTTTCTGCAGCACACCTTTGAAAGCACACTAAGAGAACCTAGCATTTGGTGTCTATGCACGTCCAGCAGAGGCAGGCAGTGACTGGAACCGAGCAGGGGGGCCTGTCTCACATTAGAGTAGACCCCTGCTGCTCCTGACTTAGTGCCATAGAGAGAGCAGCAAACGCCTGGGGGAGATGGAGGGTTTGGCCTAACATAGCGCAGCCAAGCTGATAACTGAGCGTCTGAGGGGAGTAGGGAAACGGATGGAAGACTTCATTCCAGAAAGTTAGTCCATCATAATTAAAGCAAGGTGATGCTTGGAGAATACTGACTATAGCAATGACTTTGCATGTGTGCATGAGGTCAAATCTTGCCTCTTACTGGGAGAATATGCAGTACCTCTGCTCACGAAGAGTTTTAGTGTAAGCTAGTATTTATGCTGTTTCTGCACTTAAGGGCCTAATGGGCTGGGGACCTTTCTCAAGTGTTTCTACAAATGATGATCACTTTTTTTGTATCATTACATTAATCAAACTGCTTGCTGCCTCCCTGGAATAAAATGAGCAAGAAAGCAAAAGAACGTCAACAGAATTCATGAAGCACTCCTCTGTTTAAGCACAGTGCCTGACAATGCTAACGCTGGCACCATGCTAAGTCTGGGGAGTATACAACCATTAGGTTAATTGTGTAGAACCACTTTGTTCCTGTTGGGTTTAATTGTTATTTGTCCAACACATGTATCAACTGACATTGCTGTTGTAAGAATAGACAGCCAGAGAATATTTCCCCTATTGTCTTACTTGTTCATTTAATTAGTGTTAATTGAGCCTGCTTATCGAACACCCATTAGTATGCTCAGCACTCAAAGAAAGCTAAAGAGGTCTGAGATATTGCTGGAAGATGACAACACTACATTCTGTTAAGGTATCTGGGTCTTTCTTTGTCTATCAAAAGACCAGAAGGAAAATCACAGAAATTCAGGACTTTCTTTACTTTCTTTAACAGTAATCTAGGAAAGATTACCCATTTGCTCATCTTCAAAAGCTGAATGCATGGCTTTGGTAGCCTTCTCACAGAGGCCCCCTAATGTAGTAGATGCTGGCACAGGAATGCTTAGTTTTCATTAAACCATATATGTCAGTGGGTAAAGCGATACTGTCAAAAAGCAGGGTTAACGCTACCAGTGGGGCTGGGAGCCAATCCCAAAAAGCGTTGATTCTGGGAATCAACTGACTCCAAAGCTTTACCCTTGATTCCACAAAGTGACTTTCAAGTTTATCCCAGCCCAAAATGGTGCACTCATGAACTCATGGTGCTGCAGTCCACAAATGCATGTGAGGATCATAAGGCTATAGGCCAGGGGTGCCCTATCCTGGTCCTGGAGATCTACCATCCTGGAGACTTCAGATCCAACACACCTGTTGAGGCTCTATTATTCAGACATTTCTCAAGGCTTTCAGTACCTGGATCAGGTGTGATAGACTATGGTTGGAGCTAAACTGCCAGGTGGTAAATCTCAGCACCACCCAGGATTGGGCAACGCTTGTTGTAAGTCATTTTGCCGTTCGAAAGAGTGCTCACTAGTGCCCTCTTTGTACACTTACTGCAGCCTGAGGATGCAATGACGCAGACTTAGTTGCCTTTTTCCTAAAAAAAAATTGATATACTGGTGAAGACCAATCAAAGTAGATGGGTTTGTTTACAGCTGTCTGATCAACATGGTGAACAGAAAGATATTCAGATGGGAGAAAATGCATTTGTTTATTAATTAAACTTGTTACTGAGCTGCTTTATTTTTATAATCTGAATTTAGATACTGTAGATAAGCAAAGTAGCTTGTTTACAGAAGGGGTATGACCACTATGCCACATGTGGCACATACAGTCTGATCTAAATTCAATATTTGAACCAAACACACTCGTGGTCTCTTACAGTCTTTGAGGAGGACTGCAGGGCTTAAGGTTCCATTTGGGACTGGGCTTTAGTCGGCACCCACATGCACACGGAGTGAGAGATATTTTGCTCTGACTGACTGTCTGAAAAATACATCTTTCCACACCTCATACATCAGTAGATTGCCTGCATTTTGCTTTAGACCAAGAGGAAACAAATTGAAATGTAAAACTTGTAACAAACTTACAATTGATATGTTTATAGTTAAGCCTCACCGAAACACCATGCTGTGTCACTCTCACGCAGCAGCAACCACAGACACTCAAGGGGCTGATTTTTCGTACAAAATACACTCTGCTTGCATTTTTCACGTGTGAAACTGTTCATGTAGTGGCTAATTCTACTAGGTCTTGGGAGGTAAATTTCCCATTCAGTCTCACTGGCATTTCAACTCTAGATTGTTTGTACATTTAACCCCCTCCTGTTACATTTATGATATCTGGCAGATGCTCTTATCCAGAGCAACTTACAGTTTGATCATGTTGATCAGGTAGGTAAAGGCAGAGAAGGGGATTGACCCCAGTGTGCAGTGTGGAGGATAGGGGTGTTACCCAGTACACTACAGCAACCACTACTGTTTAGCTATATTTAGCATCTGTGGGGGATCCTTAGTGGCGCAACCATCTAAACGCTGGCCCTATCATCAGATCGATCCCTGGTGATGCGACAGCTGTCCGTGGCTGGGAGTCCAAGAGAGCATAATTGGCCTCGCTCCCCAAATGGGTAGGATGCCCCACACCCCCATCACCCAGTGCAATGCTAGTCAGCACCTTAGCTGATGTGACTGAACTGGCGGTTGGTGCGTGTTCAGAGGTCGAGTGATGTTGCGTTAGTAGCTGTTCAAAAAGACGTAGTGGCGCTTCTCTCAGGTCTGTGCTAGCTTTTGCCCTCTGAGCTTTGGTGGTACAGTGTCATTGGGGGAGTCCTAACTAGAAGGTGGAATAGGACATGACAAAAAAAAGTGCATGTGTGAAAGGTGCGGAAAGCTTATGTCTTGATTTTTGGAATCAAGAAAATTATTGAGAGAAAAGTGAAGTTGAAAGATTTAGATTTTTCATGAGTTAGGGTTAGGGTTAGGGTTAATTTGAATTATTTTTCCAAAAAATGCTGTCCAACGCTTTCACGTCAGAGAAAGGCTGAGACTTATTTTTGCCACACCCCTGCATTTTAAAGCAGGAAGTGAGACTGTATCCCTGTCCCTCATGGCCACATGGTCAGCAGTTAGATCCCATTGTTTTGAAGTAAATGTGTCCCAAAGTCTTAAAACTAGAGTGTAACATTTAAAATTGTCACTACCGAAACACACATTTTTTGCAATTAAGTAAACGTTTTTTATGTTTTAATGAAAAATAGTATGATTTTATGTGTGTTCAAAGCTGTGTTTGCTATCCGTGTACTAGCTAGCGCTTTTGAGATGTTAAAAATTTGCTAAAATTGTCACTACCGAAACAGTCACTACGAAATTGACACTACTGAAACATTTGGTAAAATTTTGGTAGTGACAAAATGTTCAGTCATTTAAGCAAATAGATTTAAGACTAAAGTCCAAGTCAATTAAAAGTCTGAAATGTGTTTACTGAACCAAATGCCTGCTGCCTTTTATATTTTGTGAACAATTCATAATAAATGAACCAATTGAAACGCTCAAAAATTACTGCCAGTAAAATCGTGTTACATCAATGTCTGAAATATTTGGAATGTTTTATTCTTCTCCAGTAAAGTGACTATTTTGGAGATACAGTGTTTTGTTCCAACAGCGACGATTTGTTCAATCAGATTAGCATTAAGAGGTGAATGAAGTCTAAATGTATTCCAGAGAATTTTTTGGAATGCAAAAATTTGAATTTTTGGCTTTGTTAGATCAGTTTTCTTTCATTTTTTTTATCTTTCCACATAAAAAAGTGGAAAACGGAGTGTCTGTGCTGCATTCTGTCAGGCCTTTCAGGAGGTTCACTTTAGTGACCCTTGAACAATACAGACAACACCAACAATGCTGCTTACGTGGCCACTAAAACACAGCCAGCCTGACTGGAGGTCACCAGACAGAGACATTCACTCTCACATTACCTGACATTAAAGTGATACCTTTTGCAGACTGGCAGTACTCGTGGGGGCTGAAGCGCACTACCCTCAGTATTTAAAAAAAGCTTTTCTGTTGAGACATTCTGGACAAGGACACATTTCTCTCCACTCTTTGTTTTCATGGCTTATTGGCACATACTCCTGCACTGGCATTCAGAAAGATGTAGCAAATGGGCCTTGTGTAACAGCTGACAATATGTGCGGTGTCACCCACGCTAACTGCTGAAATAATAGAAGTGGAGTTAACCATGTACCATCTTTTCTGTTGAGTTTCGCAAAGTGTGCTGAGTGGCTGTCAGAGGATCTTGATGAACTCTGAAAGGAGCCCGAGGGGAGTGATGCCACCAGTGGATCTTCGCAGTAATCTAGAGAGAGAGAGAGAGAATAGAAGACAGACATGACTACATGTTGTAGACATAATGGCGTTTGCAGCTGCTGCTGGTATCTGTACAACACATTCTGCCCAAAAAAAGTATGCATGTTATCAGGGGTGGCTGGTATAAATGGCCTGGAGGGGTCCTCTACATCATTTTACTGCAGTTCAAAATTGACTAGAAGCTTATGGACATTTGCACTTCTGCGGACCTGACACCAATACTGCCACCAAAAGGCCATAAGACAAGTAAGAACTGGCTAAGATGGGGCTACCTTACACCTAGCCCAAGCTGAAAATAAGCCCACAATGCTTAGCTCTGCCTTCCGCAGTCTGAGGTCAGTACTCATAGGTCCGATTCTTCTCGCTCCAAAAAAATTTGCTTTACCCAATTTTGCTAAGAGTCAAAACAGTCTAATTGTGAACATATATCATTTTCTTATATGCTTAATATAGAAACATTTTAACATGCATCATAAGAATCCTACGTTTACCTAATTCACACTACATCAACAATGCTAGTTTCTATTAGCACTTCTATTGGTTTTGCAGTATTATGCTAACAGTGGTGCTACACAGCTATACTCAGATATCTGGAGCTTATAACACATGTAATGATTTGAGCTTAAATCTTGTCAAGTTCTGTGGATGTTGTTGTTAATAAGAAGTACAATGCTACTGTGAGATGTATAATTGTTCTATTAGTCTGCTATAACCGTTAGCTCTCAAATGCGATTGCTTCAGTGTGTGAGCTACTAATAGATGTTATTCTTTTTAGCTCTCCCATCTAATATTTTGACCTGTGTGTTTTACACTTAATGTGCAAAAGGACCGGATAAAGAAGGGATACTGGAAGTAGAGAGGCCAAAATTTCAGTACTTTTATGGCACTTTTATGAATTAATTAAACTGAAAAAATCTGTTCAAAAAATCATTCAAAGCCAGATTTCAACACCTACACAGTAGACCTTGACATATTTGAAGTTTTGGTTCTCACATCACGCCTCCCACCTTTCAGATTTTCTCCTGCTTTAGCTTTTCTCTTTACTTTTTCTTCCCTACTGTCTTTAACACTGTTTTAATAGGGTATGCTGGAGTTACCCACTCAGGTCGTTGACAATTTATTATAGTGGTCCATGAAGACCACACTTCTGGGAAGTTTATATATATATATTTCATTTGACCATAAATTGGTGTTATATGTTCAATATGTCATGTACAGCATTCATACATTTCTACAACTAAACAGCTGAAGGATTATATATATCAGCACCACAGAGCATGAGAAGAGTGATTTATGCAAAGTTTATCCAGACTGTAAACATTAGGGATGGTATTTGAAAGCACTGCTTAATGAATAAATTAGTTAAAGCACTATAAACTTAGTTTAGACAGGTGATTACTTGATTATATCATGTTGTTTTTTGCTACCCATGATCTAATGACCGATATTATTGACACTTTTTATCTGGCACTATCCTATCAGGTTTTATTTGGATACACCAGATGAGTTTGTATCGGTTTCAGATGGAATGTTCTCGAGCTCAAGAAAGTTTTATTCTCGAAACCTGATGACGTGGGCTGGTTCGGACAAACTTTTGTCAGCCTCCAGTGTGTCTGGACGCAATACTCAGTTATATGGTTTGAGTCGGTCTGTGCTCAGACAGAAAGTTCTTACGTTGTATTTGGATTTGGACCATAATTTTAGGCCCGATTACAGCTCTACTAAACAGTCAGTTGCATCAGCATGAGTAAGCCAATACACATCATTCTTCCAAAATGAAGACTGTTGATTGTCTGTTTGACAAAAATTCCAAAATTGCAAATTGTTTTTATTGGATTTTTTTGGTGATACTTTATTTTGATTGGTCCTTTTTAGATGAAACAAATACTCAACAGACTCTCAGCAACATGTCAAAAACATATGAGGGTTAGGGTTAGGTTTTGGGTTGAGGTAAAGGCTAGGGTTAGGATTAGGTGTTGGGTAAGGTGGGGTAAGGTTAGGTTTTACGTAATGGGAGCAACATATTAACAATACATCTACTTAACGTAAGCGATGTATCAACAGTACATCTACAAGATATTTACTTCAATGTATTCAGATGCTTCACTACTGCTACTTCACTGATATGTTGTTGATGTGTTACTGATACTCTGTTAAGAGTTTATTAATCATGTACAAATGACTATTAAAAATAAGGTGTTTGATTTTTTTGTATTTAAAAGAAAGCACTGTTCAGGAATCAGTATTACAGTCAGTGTTTACTCAACTCTGACCTACATATTTTGTTAGATTTGATGGCCATTGAATTAATTTTGTAGTAACATAACAAAGCCATGCTCTGTGCTTTAATAATTTCATGACAAAAGGATATTTACCAACAGAATAACACTACATCTACAACCAGAACTCACCTAGTGACTCCTATGGCATTCACTATCCATGTTATTGCTTTCCAAAACCCATTTGCTGAGCTAGAGTACGATTACATTCCTGCAGAATGTTTTAGTAGGAAAGCTCTTTTATTAACACTGCAATCTCTTCATCACAGAACTTGCAACTTTTGTTTTGTTGTTGTTGACAGCCCCACTATTTCACTGTGCCTTTGAAACACTGCACCTAAACGCATACTGTGATTAGTAGGCAGCCCTATGTACAAGCTGCATGATTAGCTACAGATTTAGCAAATTAAACATTTATTCCAGATGCATTTCATGCTCATATTACAGCCACATCAAGGCACATTTTATATTGCACCTTCTCACATATGTACAGTGCCCTCCACAAATATTGGCACCCCTGGTAAATGTGAGTGAAATAGGTTGCTTATACATTTGATCTTTCATTCAACATATTTACAGAAATCTAACCTTTATTTGATGTACAATTATGTTCAAAAAAAGAAAACCTAAATCTTATCATGAAATGAATATTTTTCACAAATCTATGTGTGCCGTAATTATTGGCATCCCTTCCTTTTCATACTTTCTGCAGCCTCCCTTTGCAAAGATAACAGCTCAGAGTTTTCTCCTATAATGCTTACTGAGACTGGAGAACACATGGCAAGAGATTTAAGGCCATTCCTCCATATAGAATCTCTCCAGATCCTTCAGATTCCAAGGTCCACACTGTGGACTCTCCTCTTCAGCTCATCCCACAGGTAAGGGGTTTAGGTCAGGAGACTGGGGTGGCCTTGGCAAAACCTTAATTCTGTGGTCAGTGAGCCATTTTTGTGTTGATTTTGAGGTGTGTTTTGAATCATTGTCCTGCTGGAAGATCCAAAGTATGGTCCAGTTTGCCCTTCTTGTCAGAGACCATCAGGTTTTGATTTTGTTTCTGCTGGTACTTGATGGATTCTGTGATCCCATGTATCTGAATAAATTTTCCAAGGCTTTTTATAAGAAAAACAGTCCCAAAACAACACAGATCCACCATACTTTACAGAGGGGATGAGGTACTTTTCTGCATGGCTATCTTTGTGTCCATCCAAACTCACCACTGGTGTTTGTTGCAATAAACCTCTATTTTGATCTCATTTGACCATAGAACACAGTCCCCCTGATGGTCCCATTAACATTTGGCAAACTGCAGGCACTTGAGTTTGCTTGTCAAGTTGGTTTTTGACAGCCGAGGCTTTCTTCTGACCCCACCCAACAAACAACTTGTGGTTATGTAGGTGGTGTTTGATTGTGACTCTGACCCCAAGACCTAACTAATGTCTGTGATTGTGATCCTTGGAGGTTCTTTGCCCATTCAAACCATCCTCCTCACTGTGCATGGGGTCAGTATAGACATACGTCCTGTTCCTGGAAGATTCTTAACATCTTCAGTTGCTTTAAACTTCTTAATCAATGACCTGATAGTGGAAATGGGCATTTCCAACTGTTTAGCTATTGTATCCGTTTCCTGATTTGTGCAGCCCAACAATCTTTTGTCCACTGCATTTCACTGGCCACTGTATTTCTTTCCGTGAGTATACTAAACTTTAGGATATGTCTACATTTATAAACGCTTGTGAAAGAACAATGCATTTAAATATTCTTTTCAAAAGTGTATTTAATCCAAAAGGTATTACTTCAATACTTCAATATACAAATAATACTACTGTATTGCTATTACACTTGGGGTATATTATAAATATACTACTGAATGTACCGACATAATGATTTCAGTACATTTAATTACATTCAACAAAAAAAACATTTTTTTTAACTTTTGTACTTTTATAAATAATAATTAAATATATTATTAGGGATAACTAAGCACAACTTATATATCGCTGCTGTCGGAAGAAAACCTTGTATCTCCATTTTTGTCATTTTTCAGTTTTGGACATAATTTCAAAATGCCTGTTGCTCTTTACATGGTGTGTATATTTCATGATGAATAGACCAAAGAAAATATCCTAGAATTACTTGGAGAAAAGTCTCGTTTCATAGACTTACATTAAAAGTAAAGTAGGTTTTTCCTTTTCCTTTAAAGTTACCATTCTGGAGATACAAGGTTTTCTTCCGACAACAGCGATATACATCAATAGTACTTACATAATGTTGAGATACATCTTCTATGTTGTAATGAAGTAAACTTAAGCAATTGTTAGGACACAACTTCTACCCGAAGTATATTTTAAACGTTTCCATAACATATGTGAAATTTAAAAATGTACTTTCAGTATTGTAGCATTCTCTATGTACTTCAAGTGAATATGAGGAAAACAGGCTGTATAAAACATTAATTATTGCTTGTCGTTTTGAGCTTTAATTTAAAATATTAACACAGATCTCACCTTAATTTGAACTACCGTGTTTAAAATAAAACCCCTATATCTTATCATGAAATAAATATTTTTTCTCAAATCTATGTATGAACTTAAATATGCTTCTGTTCTGAGAATAGGAGCATTAAGTCCAGCACTTTGCACTTGTTTTCTTACATAGTTTTGCTCATCCATAAATGAACCTGATCTTCTTTTTAAACGTTTCCTTTCAGATT